GTGTGAAGAGATAGTTTTCTCTTGATGCTTTTAATTTCTTTGTCTTTGTCCTTTAATATTTTGATTTTGTTATGTCTAGAAACCTATCTCTTTATATTTGTCCTATACGGGGTCCTTTGAACTTCTTTGATGAGTAGATTAATGCTTGAGAGCATATTCAAAATGGCCGAGTGCAATTATCAAATCATATCTAATTTGATATATTTTTGTTCCTTATTCATGTATTTTTTTCTACTCCTTTATCTGTTCCCTCTCCCTCTGGGATACTATTAACAGGTTTTTTGATATGGTTATGATTGTCCCAAATGTCTCTGCATCTTTGCTCATTTTAAAAAATATCTTTTCTTTTTTTTTTTTTTTTTAGATTGGGTAATTTACATTAACTCTCTTTAATTCACCAATTCTTTTTACAGGTCATTTTGAATATGCTCTCAAGTCCCTCGAGAATTATCTTTTCATATATAGTGGACTTTTTAACTTCAAAATTTCATTAACTTCATTTTGTTCAAAAATTTCTGCCTCCTTACTGAGAATCTTTATTCATTGTTTTACTTTTTAAAATATGGTTATCTTTGGTTCTTTAAACAGATTTAAAATAGCTGCTTTGAAGTCTGTTTAAATTGAACTTCTAAGGACACTCAAAATGTTGCTATTGACTGCTTTTCCTCCCTCCCCCATTTCTTTGCATGCCTCATAATTTCTTGAAAACTGGACATTTTTAGATCATATATTGACACAACTTTGGATTCTGGTTTTGTAATCATTGAATGTTGTTGTTGCTTTGTTTGCTGGTTTCTTTGTTTGGTAATTTGCCCAAACTAAATTAGTGGCATCAATCTCCTCTGTGATATATGGCCACTGATGTATCTGGGTTTTCTTTTTTTTAAGATTTTTGTTTTGAGTTTTACATTTACCTTCCTAGGACTTGCCCCTGTGGCTGTGTAGCTTAAATGATAAGCTGATGGTTGGACAGTGGTTGTGATTAAACACTTCAGGTCAGTAAGTCGTCTCTCATCTCCTCGCGAATCTCTGTAATAGAGGAATGCATTTAAAGTTTACAGTTATCAGTTGTGTCCCAGTTTTTGCTTTCTGCTGGGCTCTTTCACATTTCCTCTGTGGCCATCATTGTTCAGCCAAAGCAATCTCTGCTAGCTTTGTTCCTCTTCAGTCTCTATTGCACATACTCAGCCTTAGCCAAGAATATGCTTGCCCCAGTTATGACCACGGCCTTGGGCTAATCGAGGTGTGTGGCTCTCCCTGCTTGCTGGCTTCTTAGATCTTCACTTCCACTGACACCATGATGGGCTTAGACATTACCTACCATTCAAACTCAAGTGAGCCCCCTTTGACCACAGCAGATACATTTCCAGTCCTGTGATCTTCCCCACCCCGGGAGGACCTCTGTGCTGTCTGAGCTGTGGTTGATGGTTATAAGAGTAGCTCCAGGCCAGAATGCCACAGGGCCCTCGTGTTCTTACCTAAAGATTAGCAGTTTTTCACATGTGAATATTTCTCAATTTGTTATATTCTTTTGGCCAATTTCTAGAGCACCAAAATAGTTGTATTTGTCAATTTTGTCTTGCTCCTTGGTTGTGTTTTTTTTTGGAAGAGTATTTGCTAATTGCACTCGGCCATAGGTGGAAGTCCTGTTTATGGTCTTGTATTATGTATACATTTTTTTTTCTTTACTCTCTTAGGATGATGGGAAAGTTGCACATTCTAGTAACTGATTTATCTCTATTTTCTTTGGAGTAAATTTTTGTTTTACATTGATCTCAAATGTGAAAAAAAAAGATTTTTTTAAAATGCCCAGTGGTCCTTGGCTTTGCATTCATATTAGAAAAGACAAAATAAAAAAGCTGCCTGGAAATTATATTTGGGTGGCACTGATTTGACTTGTATGCTTTGCTTTAGAGTGAATAGGTGGAACCATGAGTGTACCTGAAGTCAGAAGGGTCAGAAAGAGGCCATCTTTTTTGGGAGTACCTATATTTATGCTATGTTTTCTACTTTTCTAGGCAATTCATTGCCTCAAACACAATTCATTTCCTCTCATTTCCCTTTTTTTTATTTTTTACTCAAAGTAGATATTTAACTAAAGACAAAAAGAAAGTAGTTGCTTGTATACAAAGATAGGGGAGGGAGAATCAGGACAAATCTTCAAGTGACTGCATATTTCAGCTTCACTCCTTACTCCACACTCTGCCAGGGATATTAGCTCATTCTTTTAATTGCAGTGCTCCCTGCACACATTCTATCATTTGGCTTTTCCTGCTCTGTTTTTCCTATGAATGTTCCTTCATCTGTCTTACATATACAAATTTGTACGGAGGGCTTGCTCAGTCTCTTCACCATTATGGATTTACATCCTCTTCCCCCACCCCAACACACACCTTTATTATCTTTTTAAGAGGATTGCTAGAGGGAGATGGGGAAAAATACACACTCAGTGATCTTCTTAACCAAAAATTTTGTGCACATACTTTTAAACTAGAGACCTGGTGCACAAAATTCATGCACTTGCAGGGGGTGGGAGAGATGAGGGATCCCTCAGCACAGCCTGCACCCTCTTGCAGTCCAGGAGCCCTTGGGGGATGTCCAACTGATGGCTTAGGCCTGCTCCCTGTTCTCTTTGCGCCCGGCTTTTGGCTGAGCAGCGCTCCCTGTTCTCTTTGAGCCCGGCTTTTGGCTGAGCAGTGCTCCCCCCTGTGGGAGCGCACTGAACACCAGAGGAAACTCCTGCATTGAGCGGGATCAGGCCGGAACCAGCTCTCTGACATCCCCTGAGGGGTCCCAGATTGCGAAAGGGTGCAGGCCAGGTCGAGGAACCCCACTGGTGCATGATCGAGGCTGGGAGGGATGCAAGAGGTTGGCCAGCCAGGGAGGGACCACAGGAGGGCTCCAGGGCATGGCTGGCCTGTCTTGCTCAGTCCCAATCGGCCAGACCCCAGCAGCAAGCTAACCTACCAGTCAGAGCACCTGACCCCTGGTGGTCAGTGCACATGATAGCGAGTGGTTGAACGGCCTTAGCATATCATTAGCATATTACACTTTGATTGATTGAAAGGATGACCAGACGACTGGACACTTAACATGTTAGACTTCTATTATATAAGATGGTTGCAATGCTGTCTGGATGCTATTTTCACCTCTCCATTTTAGCATGTTCTACATTGCTGTACTTCATAATCATTGTTTGTAGTTGATTATGAACATACTTTAATGAAACAGTTTGTTGTGTTTTTATTATTATTATAATGGTTATTATTTTTAGTTATTGCCTCCTGTTTCCTTACCCTTTCCTCCATCCCACCATTATGTACATATACCTTTCCTCAGGTAACCAATGTTAACAACATTGACAGTTTGTGAAACAGTAAGTGCTACTATTTTCCTTTGGTCAAACTGATTGAAAGCTATCAAGAAGGATAGTTCACCCTAGAGCAGGCTGACATTGTCATCAAGAAAGTAATCTGAGTTATTTGTGGGGTTTCCAAGAAATGCTGTGATTTCAGCTGTGGAGGTAGGTGATGTGTTGTATCTCTGTAATGGCTTCCCTGTGTTGGCATCTCCACTTTAGTTCTTCCGTGGAAGTGAACCATATTACTTGTAATAACTCATCTGTTTCCTTTTGTTCAGATTCATTTCCCCAAGTGGTCAAGTTGTCTGTGAGGGTTTTGTCTGTTTCTGATAAACTGGAAACCAGCCTGGGATAGTAGATGTTAGTAACATTGAAGCACTTATTTGTCAGACACCAAAGAAAAGCCAAAAATTATATTTATCAAAAGTAACACTTGGGATCTTCTTCATATCAGTTTTCTAGTCAACCTAGGCCTAACTAAAAGAACAGTTTGGCTGATTATGGATAACAAAATAGTCTTTTCTATTAAAAAGTACATTTATTGCTTATTGCTTTTTTTTTAGTAAAGCAAGATAAAGAAGTATAGATTTTTGAAATGAAAAAGTAAAACTCATCACTTATACATAATGTAAAACTACAGAAAATAAAAAGTTTAGTAAATATCCTGGATAAAAATATCAATATACAAAATTTATACGGATACACATATAAACAAAAATGAAAAAAGCTTTGTAAACAGATATTGTCTAAATTAACATTCAAAATATGAAGTGCCTAGGAACACATCTATCATAACAAGAAATATGCAAAACTCCCTTGGAGAAAATAGAAAAGCATTACCGTGTGACAATAAGACCTCAGTAAGTGGAATGATATGTACAATGCACATGATGGAAAACTAAACATTTTGCAGGTGCCTAATTTGATCAGTGCAATGTCAACCAAATTTTTATCTGTTTTGATAGAGAAGGGAGAATACTTGATGAAAGGGTCTAAAATTAATTGGAAAGACAAAGGGCCAGTAGCTAAGAATAACAACAGTGTACATTGGTTCAGGGAAAGACAAGTAGTCTGGTGGAACCTTACTAGTGAAAGTGTATTCTGTGGACCCACCCACAGCATTGGTGGAGTTACCTGGGACCTTGTTAGAAATATACAGTCTCAAACCCCAACTCCAGATCAATTGAATCAGAATCTATTTGAACAAGATAACCAGAAGAGTGGAAAAAGATGGTTTTAATAAATTGTTATGGAGGAACTGGTAACTAAACAGGAAGAAAGTAATTGTATTGAAAGGCACTGCTTGTTTTTTGTCCTGCAACCTTCCCTTACTCTCTGTGATCTACATTTCTTTAGGGACATTTGAAAAATCAATGAAAATAAAAAGAATGTTTTGAATATGCATTTTCATAGGAGCCTCTGTTATCCATGTGCTTGTAAGCTGTGGATCACCTTGCTAATAAGGTTTTCTTAGGTGCTCCAACTTCAGCGTGTCTTTATGTATGTTCAGTATCTCTTAGATCTAGCTTGTATGTCATAACCTAATGATAGTACTGTCACTACCAATGTACAGAACTAATGTTGTGACTATATCCCCTCCATTGTAGCAGTGACAAAGTATTATCTAATTATTTTATAGGTGTGTTTTGTATATTTTGGAAAAAACTCTGCTGAAGATCCTAAAGAAAGGGTAGTTCTTTTACCAACAAACCAGAAGGAAATAACTTTCCACCTACTTAGGATTGGAAGACCAGCTCATTCTTAGCACCTTCTGAAACAAAATTAGGTAAGAAATGTTTTCATCATATGTCAAATAATTTGTGCCTCACCCACTTCATTTCCTTGAAGGCTTCTATAATTCTATTCCTTTGGCCTCTAAGAGAGAATATAGCTCACATTTTCCTTTAGGAAGTTAGTGTGCCAGCCAGCTGTCAGCCTTATGATGCGCCTGATCTCCCATGTCAGGGGAAGCACAATTCAATTTTAAACTAAGTCTGTGCAACAGTGCAGCAGGGCTGCCAGCGTCTCCCTTTATGTCTCTTTCTTTGAAATTCTTCCTTCCACCTGAACAGTATGGCTTTATTTTTAAATCCTTTGTATGAGATGAAACCAACCACTAACTAACTTTGCTTGTCGTTAGTTAAAAACCAGAGAATTGAAAGAAATAATCTGTAACTATTTCTGCAACCCTTTCTCATTTCTAGAAAATAAAGTACCACTGCTTGTTTAACTTATGACTTGTCTAAACATGTTGAAAGCATTGACAATAAGGCATAACACTCAGACTCTGAAAGGGAACTGTGAAAAGTTCAGTCAAAAGGGAAATGAAGAATAATTTATGAAAGGCGCGACAGATAATGATGCCACCCAGTTATTTTAAAATGCATCCATCTCACCTTGTAATGAATTAGATTTGTCAATAGCAAATGTTTTATGCACCACTTCTACGAAAAGTGGCGTGCTGGGGCTGCAGGGCTTTGAGGGGGGCTTCTTCAAAGCTTTACAAGTATCCTCGATTCAAAGACTTTATTTAAGTAATATATATTAAAAAGTTTATTTAAATAATATTAAGGTTGTGACACAAACACCAAATGACAAAAATCAGGAGTTTCAAAGCAGAGGCTGACATGCCATCACTATTTCACACAGTATCTGGTTTTCAAATGAGGGGTGTACCAGGCTGATTTGGGGATTGTGTGTCAGTTTAACGTTAAATTTTCTTGTTATTTTGGTTGTTGTCACAACCTTAATGTCAGTTTTTCAAATAGGTTTCTACATTTCCTTTGGTTTTGAGGTCATTAAAAAATGCATATGATAAATCTAACAGGCATAAATAGGTCACACGGAAGTGGAATTCCTTGCTTCTCGGGTGTTAAGAGACAGCTAATACCTGCCTTGTAAGTGGGGGAAGTTCGCTCAGACATTTCAATGAATTTCTGTTTTTCAGGAATTCTATTCAGACTAATATAAACCCAAATAACAAGACATGATGTTGAGATAATTCTGTTCACATTCTATTGTTCCTGTACCACTAATGCTAACCATTTGATCTTGGTGGTTATTACCTCTGTAGATGTTAAAAACCACAATTGATACTTTTTTCACTAAAATTACAAGTTAAACTTGATAATTATTTCAACTGAAGAATTCTTTTGGGAAAGACAGAAAGGGGAAAGAGGAGGGAGATTGTCAAGGGCGAGAAAAAAAAGAGACATATGTAATACTCTTTGTAATACTTTAAGCAATAAAACAATTTAAAAAAAAGAATTCCTATTCAGTGTAGTTGAGTGTAGGTAAACACTGCCTTAAATTTTTTCATATGGCAGTCCTTTTTATAAAGCACTGTTATGCAGAGTTTTGAAAATAAAATCTTGCTTTCTAAAGTAACACTTGTTACTTGTGTTAAATTTTTTCTCTAGTACCACACCAGACGTTAAAGGAGCAGCCAGGAGCATTCTGCAGGGAAAGGCAGAAAGGGGAAAGAGGAGGGAGAGAATAATCTACTTACCCACATTCCCCTCTCTCTTTTTTTTATTCTTTTGTTCAAAATGAGCTGCCAGGGCAGGTCTGCATTGCCTATGCTGAATCTACTTTTAATTTAGAATAAATATATTAGAATCTGTCCCACAGTTGTCTTTTTCAGCACCTGTGTTAGAGAAATAAAAGATGTAAAGAGAAGCAAATTGTTTATTGATCCTTTTCTGCTGACTCATAAAGATATTAACCAACCCAAAACACTTCCATAGCTATCATCTCCTCTTTGCTTGAACCACCAGATTTTATCCTTACTGGTTTTTTATCAATGACTGTGAAAACATTAATCACTTTTTTTCCACTGTACTTCATTTTTTATCTCTTTATTATATACTAGAGGCCCAGTGCACAAAAATTTGTGCACTCGTGGCCCGGGGGCGGGGGCTCCCTTAGCCTGGCCTGTGCCCTCTCATAGTCTGGGACCCCTCGGGAGATTACGACCTGCTGGCTTTGGCCTGCTCCCGGTTGGCAGAGGGCGATGCCACCCTCAGTCATGCTCAGGATAGGGCCGATTGGGGGGTTGGGGCACCGCCTCCTGTCACACTCAAGGCAGGGTTGATGGGAAGGTTGCAGGGCCACCCCCTTTCTCACACAGAGCAGGGCTCATCAGGGGGTTGTGGCACTGCCCCCTGTCACGCACAGAGCAGGGCCCATCAGGGGGGTTGGGGCTCCGTACCCTGTCACGCACAGAGCAGGGCCCATCAGGGAGTTGGGGAGCTCCCCCCTGTCACGCACAGAGCACGGCTGATCAGGGGGTTGAGGAGCTCCTCCCTGTCACTCACAGAGTAGGGCCGATAGGGGAGTTG